CAAGTTCGAGATCGAGGTTTTCACAAACCTAAACTAAATAACAAGCCCTGTAGTAGAAGATCCTGAAGGTTCGACACCTCTAATACCAAAGCCCCCCGGACAGCAAGGAGTAGAATCTCTTCCCCTGCTAGGAATCAAGTATTTCGCCCGTCCAATCCGCATGCAGTTTCTTTACAAACTGACATCTCTCGGCCTTTGTTATTTAATTGCTTTATAAAAGATTCCTTCCTCCGAAATGTTGACCTAGATAACCTGCGTAGTCTGAGGAGCCCTATTTGCTGATCGTTACGAATTCTGAACTCAGTAGCTGATGACGTCTTGTTGAAATCTCTTCAACTTCTGTACTTCCTGTTTTCGATCTCAATCCGGAAATTTATTTGCTCTGGGCACTATTACAGCCTATTAGCTTCCAAACACGGGGGAATCGTTGTTTGACGGCGCACAACTGCAATCGCAGCATATTTGTATGTTTGATTCCGATGGATAATCGCGGAGGATATAAAATAATCACAGAAAGATAAGATTAAACTTGCTCCTTGACATCTTTGCACTTTGTTTGCATGAATTAGCCAAATACCGCGCTCTTTTGCGTAATTGGCTTGGGCGGATTTGCATCTGTCCTGAGATCTCTCTCGCGATTTTCCTCAGTATTTACTTTGAATTTCTGAATAGTACCTTGAAACATGTTAGGGATATCTTCCAAATTCAAATATACATGCCTTTTTTAATCTTTCATAACATATTTGACTAACTGTAAACGTTTTCTAAAGCGTGTTGAGAGAGACAGAAATTTTACAATACTGTATCCAAATATCGTTAAAAGAATTTAAAATAAAAAGTACATTATATCATGAAAATGCATCAGCCGTTCTCGAGTTTTTGTGTGCGTGGGACGGACGGACTGGCGGGCGGGCAAGGCACTAAATCGGCGCTCCGCTGGGTTGTTGCGAACGCCCCTAAAAACGTGACGAGTTTCCGAACTGTTTCAGGGCGATGACCCATTAATAGTTGTAAGGTGGCGTGTGGTCTGTTTAAAACACGTCTGCAGCTGGTGTGATTTAGGTTATTTGTGTATTCTAGAGAATATCTTTTAGAAGAATATTAATAATCGCGTGACAAATAATTTTAGAAAGTAAAGTACACACAAATAACATTCGGATGTTAGAGGTGCGATCCTTGGAATCCCCGATGTTCACGACTTTCGCTGGGAATTATTTTGGAACTTCTTATAAATACATTTCTATATTTGTTGTCATTACCAATCAATCTTCAATTTCTGCTAGGCGATAAAGGCATTGAACCACTGAACCGGTTGATCGGCAGTTGTAGTCACAGAGATAATGGGAATATATCAATAAACGTGTCTGTAAAGGAGCTGAGAAAGTCGTTCACATCCGATATAATGGGACATATGAACGGTCGCCATGTTTATACACATTATGAAGTCGTATTTGCAACACATTATTTCAGAGATGCTATCAATATTACAAGAAAAGTTGCTTCAATGTAAGTTATTTTTATATAGAATTTTATTATAACAAGAAATATGTTTATTATTATTAATGTCGAAGTCTGATGCCATAAATAAAGAAATAATAGCCTACGTCATATATGATGCACCAGTTTTAATGTCGCAGGTTGTATATTTAGTGACATGATATATTTGATAGTTCAACGTTCAGGTATTTCTGATTGTGGTCTTCTTGGTCGTGAAATACAGTGCCACGACTCAAGATCCCACATCTGAACTCTCACTTGATGCAAGATTGATGTATCTGCAGTCGTTAATTATGACTGTAGATGGCTGTCTTCTGGGTTGTTGCATCACGTAGTCTGATAGAAGTTCACCGACGTTTCAGAGGTGTTTGCTCCCTCCGATGATGGAGACAGCAAACACCTTTGGAACGCCGGTAAATGTTTACTACAGACTACACGGCGCTACAACCCAGAAGACAGCCATTTTCATACTAGCCGCCTTGATAACCTGAAATCTCACAAATGCAACTTTATTCTTCTGTTTTTAAACAATATACTACTACGAATTAAGGTATATGTGGTGCATGAAAATGTTAAATTATTCTTACTACACTTCGTCTAACATGAGTATAGGCTATAATACAGCAGACGTCCTTATGGCAAATTCTGACAGTCTTGAAATCATACTTTTGTTATACTTTGCTGCACGAAACACGGACGTAATTTGTAGAACTGTCTGAACTTCGATATTCTCCTTCCAGTAATCACAGTTGTGTCATGCTTATCTATTACCGTCTCTGACATGTGCGACAGGCCGAACCATCCAGCATGTTACAACATCTCTTTCACATGGGTCTTCTCTTCTGATCGAATACTTGGTTGGATTCGGATCTTTGTAACCGTCTAGGTAACTACAGTTTAACTGTTATTAAAAATGTTACTTTATATGTTAATTACGATTTATGAATCTCATTCTTGTATATCTGACTTCTGGTCTCTGTTCGTTTGAGCTTTATCCTTTTTGTGTGATTGTTAATCTTGTCGTCTACCAAATGCTGCCACATTACTCTAGCGCCGTGATTGCGCGGCAACTTCTCCGGCACGGTAGAGAGGCAAGAAGTCTAAACAAACGTTTGCAGGCGTTTAGTAGGAGTAGTTTTTGATTATTAATACTGCATAATGTATATAACACTTTTAAATATTACACATTTTAAATTTCATATGTTATGCATTTCAGGCCATTTATTTTCATATTTAACAAATTTATTTATTAATTTATTGTATGTTTTGAAACGTTAAAATTAAGAAAGCTGTCATTCTTTTGTGCGAACACCGCTATTAGCGAAGCCTGCCTTTGAACACAGTTTTATGTGTATCAACTATTTTATTTGCGTTGTCCAGGAGCACTGCTATCGTCTACACGGGTTTGCGTTTTGTTTTGCCATTTTGTTGTGTTTTGCCATTACTCGGAGAGGTGTACAAACCTAACTGATGTTAAGCATGGCTCTTTTGAGTTAAACAATAGGTGACGTCAGCTGCCACGTTGCTTAGCAACGTACGATATTGTTAGGCCAAGGAACAGGAAGGAGCGAGGAGCAATGACATTGATTTTAGGTGAGAGTAGCTTTAGAAATCTGTGAAGCGACGAGAAACGTAATGAAAAAAAGTGGACTTACTAGAAACTAGTATGCGCTACTGGAATGCGGTCATTTATTCAAATATTAGGGTTTCTCGATAAAAATGCTTTGAAATTGTCTTCATTGAATTTTACAAATAAACTAGTCCATATTAAAATTAGCTTTTGTACTTTTTATGCGTTTCTTGCATGATGTGCACGAATTGAAAGCACGTTTGTCTGTCCGTCCGCATAGTCCAACTCGAGAACTGCTGGACAGATTTGGATGAAATTTGGTATGTACGCGTTTTGAGGCTACCCGAAAATCGGACTAACGAACTTTTGACGTGGAATCGACACTAGCCAGCGTCATACAGTGATGTGTGGCAATATATCTTAGAAAAATACATCGTGCTGAAATACATGAACATACGTTTTAAACTCTGGTTTCTTCCTTTTTTGTTGATTCATTTGTTTGTTGGAGACTCGTTGTTCAGAGAACAGAATATATTCAGAAGACCTGGACTTTCTATTATAAACTGATCAATAAATGTAATGGTAACATACGAGGTATGCTGCATTGTCAGTTATCTCACTTAGACAACTTTATTTTCTAAGTTCACAAATCACGTGTTTTAATTCATTCTTTAGGTAACAGTATTGAAATAACTACACATGATATCTTCTATAATTCCAATTACATTTTTATATGCCTCCTGAACCCCTATGCTTCGTAATTGACACCCCTCTTACAAGAACTTAAGTTCTACCTCACACGGCTCCCTGGTTGTTAAGGGGATATTAGTTATTCTTTAAAGAAATTAATCACGCACGTACGCAACTAAATTGGGATGAAATATAAGTTTGTTTTACAACATCTATTGCAAGAACTTTATTCATCTGTATTCATTATACGACTTTTCACAATGAACAGCTGTTGGGTTAGTAATAAGGCCTCCGCTATTTTTATGGTTGAAAAAATAAAATTATCTGTCTGCATTTCATGTTGTAATGGAATATTCAGTAAGAAATTGTAATTATATATCCCGTAAACTTACTTTCATTAATCTTAGTATTTGCATAAAAGACCCAGATATCCCTTGTACCTTTGGACATAGTGGAAATTAAAATAAATTCCAGCTTTTATTTGATTCATCCTGCAGGTACCAGGTTCGATTTTAGACCTGGTTAGTACCTGTTATTAGTAGTATTTTTCATTATACTTAGACGGTATTCGGGAAAATTAGATTATGAACGTTTGTAATTTATGGTAAATGGTCATCCTTATCATATTCTGGACTTCATAACCCTGGAAAACGTATATCGCCGCCATATATTCTACAGAGCAGAAAATGCTGCTAATATCTACGTATTTTTCATAACGTTTGTCGTGATTGTATTCAGTTGTTCCGCACGAATGCTGGGAAAATTTCTTGAAACAGAGCACAGAGTATTTATCCCTGGACATTTACAATTCACTTTACACATATAGTCTACATTAAACAACATATTCATTTGATTTATCTTCATTGAAACCCTACGCACTCTGTGATAAAAATTAATAACGCACCCTACTAAATGTAGCATCCTCATAAAGTCGATATTATTCTCAAATCACATCAGACGTTTATGATTATTGGATCTGTGTGTTCACGGACGGAGAAGTAATCTCTTTTCTGAGTATAAACGATGCTTAGCCTCACGCACAGTGCAGGCTGAAGGTGACTTGTGCACTACACGAGTGGTCCATGAGGATGCTGAACGTATCGAGCGGGCCCAGCTGCCCCCAAGTGCTGCTGATCGATCCAGCCAGCTCGTCCGTCCGTCCATCCTGGGATTGATGATACCGAGTGCTATTGTACGGACAAACCAACATTCAGAGCAAGACTTTTAACTGGGTTAGTGTTACCTGAAGATCGTGGCAGATGATCGCTGGTGACGGCCGCACCGCGGCTGTACTTCCTCATGACCCCACCATTCTAGCGTGACCCTACGATCAGAAACCTCACGCCAGCCGCGTCGTCTCGGCAGCTACGACTTTCTCACGGCACTCATTCTGTCGCGTCCAGGCACTCCGCTACCATTCACTGAGCCGCCTCCACCATCGCTTGCTGATTCTCCCGCTTCTGCCACCACTAGGGCGTGCCTGAAGCCCGCGCCTGCGCACTTCTGCAACTCATTGATTTTCAGCGAGGATCATACAATAAAAGCCATGGGCAGAGGGGTGTGAGAGAGAGTAGTTGGCTGTACAGGGGGTGGGTTCTCAGGTTACGGGGTCATACGACGTCGAAGGGGATGTCAGAGATGATGACTGGGTACAGAAATGAAGGACATGCTCACCACATTCAAGTGGTGCTTAGGCAAGTGGCCCGCATAGACCACTTTTCGTTATTGCCACTACAGTCATTTGTTCTGCGAATGGCGTCCAGTGGCTCTCGACGATTTTAGGTGTTTCGTCCTGTGTCCAGGAGGCCACACGCTGCTGAGATCAACTGCTTTCAACAAGCAAGTAGCTAAACGCTACCCCAGGCAGCAGGGCCTGACTTTGACCTTCTGAGGCCCCTACAATTCGAAAGTCGACGTATACATTTATTATTCTGAGTGAAGGAAACATTAAGAATGACCTAGAAAACCTCTCCTTTTGTTTACAAAGACTCAACATTCCTTGCCGAACATACATACATTCAACTGTTTCATTCATGATCTTCCACTGCACAAAATGCAGTGTTTCTATCAGTTGTCGTCATTAAATCAAAAGTTCAATGAGAAATTGCCATGCTGCTATTTTCTGTTTTCTGCATTACCTTTTAACGAAAGCTACAAATACTGAAGCTTTTGATTATGGAAATAGTTTCATTGCCTTTCTTTAAATTACGTCCTTATAAATTTTGAGTAACGGAGATTACCTCGGGTAAAGTTCCTAGTTTCATTGTCCAGGTTCGATCTGGATACACTCAGGATACAAGTTGAATCGTAGGTGTACGGGCAGGCCTTGCCTCGCGAGCCATGGTAATCAAATTGATGGGTCACAGACAATTCGTAACATCATTTGTTTATATAAACTTCGTAAGCCTGGCAACCGAAGTGTTGGACGTCAAATTATCGCAGCAAACAACACTCTCGTGGTATTTACGAAGTTCCTCTCTGCATGCACGTTGGATTGTCTGGTCGCTATACGTTGGCAGACCTCAGTACTAAAATGTTTACCGTTTGTGGGCGTCTTCGCGTCTAAATGATGCCTCCCATATTGAACACAGAACGCAGAAGAAGAAAGTTCCCGTTATTGCGTTACGCGGTCTTCAACCCACACTTTGCTTCACACCGTACGTGACGCATAACGCGCTCTCTAACCTACGTAAATTCCAGCGTGTTGAAGATGGCCGTCTTCTGTCGTCAGAGTGGCGATGGAGACAGTGCGATCCCTTGAAACGTCTGCCAATACGTACCATATTACACGGTGAAACGTTCCAGAAGGCAACCTTCTTTTCTCCTTTTGCATAAGAACCTGAAATCCCAACCAGAAATATTACTATATTTAGATTACTTTAATTGTTTTGTAATGAGCCGGGATAGCTCAGTCAGTATAGTGACTAGCTACGGGCAGGACGACCGGGGTTCGATCCCCGACGGGGGCAGAGGATTTTTCCTCTAGCCTCTGCGTCCAGACCGGCTCTGGGGCCCACCCAGCCTCCTCTGCAATGGGTACCGGGGTCCATTCCCGGGGGTAAAGCCGGCCGGGGCGTGATGCTGACCACTCACCCCCATCTAGTGCCGAGGTCAAGGAAGAGAGGAGCTATACCTCCACTCACCCCAAACGCCTACATGGCGTATAGGGGGACAAACTTTACTTTAATTGCTTTGTAAGGAAGGGTAGGCTTATTGTATCAACGTGTCTGTATTTCTGTCCGTCTTTCAGTCACCGATGATGAGTTTTTGACCCAATGACCGAATTTCATGCAACGCAGTATGAGCATCATGACACTGGAAAAGATATTGACTTTTCGTATATAGTTGAAGATGAGAGTTTTCTTGGATTTTGCGCCAGTAGAAGTTCCCCGGCGTTTTGGAGGTGAGTACTACCTTCACCATCACCACCCATTGTCCTGATTATGAACGCAGTACGTATCTCTGAAACGTCGATCAACTACGAGACTATACGGCGCAGAATCCCAGAAGGCTGTCATGTTCATACTCGCTGCCGCAAAGACCTTAAATCTCACTTTGTGCTTAGTTACTAGGTAATCGAATTGATTCTGTTTTAATTAAATTGTGTTTATGTAAGTGTATTTATCATTAATGAATATGTAAACAGTACATAGCTTATTATTACATGTTATGTAATTAAATGCAACGTTAAAATATTTAAGAACCTATAAACCTAAATTTACGGGTTGTATCCTGTTGCGTGTTGATCTTTAGGTTAACATTTCGTTGTGCAGACGGACTGTCAAACTAACCTATACATCTGTTATAATTATAGTACGCTCACAGTCATTATTGGCTGATCCTTTCAATTGACATTAAATGTTGAAAAAAATTAGCGTTATGGAGTAGTGTTCTATAGAATTTGATAGTCGTCCAGGTTTTCAGGAATATCCGCACGTTTTATGGAACTCAGAGGTTCATTACCGAGTTCACAGTATCCAAATTCTCTTTATATAATTAATCCATTCTCCTGTTACTTCGTTTCTATAAGACCGAATATTCTCATTTTTTTAATTTAAGTGTTCTGTAGGCCTGTGCCACACTTTATCAGAATCTATGTAATAATTTCAAAGAAAATCATGAGAACTGTCAACCTGTTCTCCACATCAAGCATTAATTACCCGCATTTTGTGCAAAGAACGTCTACAGGTGTATCCAGGATTTAAGGGAATATAATTGTCTTCTTAAAACCCTCTTATTTTTTATAGGCCTATCTCGTGTTACTTTCCGTCCGTCGGAAGTGAGGTTAAGTCTCCAATTCTTTATATCCTTCGACATTTTCAAATCCATCGGTTCCTCTCACTTCCATCGTTGCTTTTATTTTGAGTTCTCAGTCCTTTATTAAAAGCTACAACTGTT